AAAAAAAAAAAAGAATACCTCATATTCCTGTTGTAGTTCACGTATTGCATTTTCCATGTCTATCTTTAGTGTATTTACACGAACATAACGAGGTTTTTGCGATTCTGCAGGGAAAAAATATATATGATTCAATTATAGAGCTCATTCATCACTTCAGACTATGAAGTCTTGAAAATCCTCAATTTCAGTTTTAGAAACAACTGGAAGCTGGAACGTTACCAGAAAATTTATTGTGAGCGACCAAATCTCCGACATTTTTCACTCCCTTGCGACCTAAAATTTGCGATAGAGCTGATCGCAACGCATTTTCCTTTAGCGTAAGATACTTTTCAGCATCACCAGTTAACGAAGCTTCCTAAAATAATAAATTACAAAAAAAAATATAATTACTAGCCATCAATTTGAAGAATGTGCGAATACGACAATGTCATTTAAGTGAATTAACCCTACAGAAGTACATCATCATTTAGCCCCACGATCTATTATAGTCTCATGGGTGAATTATTTAAATAAATTAAAAATCAAAACCATTTCACCTGGCCAAATAGTAGATCATACGTGATGATATACATCAATTCCATCTGCTTCTGTAGAAACAAACCGAAAAATCAATCTATATTAACAGACTAAAATAAAAACAGTGAAGAACCACTTATATGGTCACATGAGACATGACTACAATAATGTATGACAATAGCAGTCATTACTCATTACCTTCCACTTGCCACTTAGAACATTTGCCTCCTCCAAAACATCTTTAATAACCGATAGATCTACAAGTCCAAAACAGCAAACACCAAGCTGAAAATACTGTCCAACCAATAACAGAAAAAAACCTAGTGATCAGCTAACTGAAGAGCTGATAATATCATTCCCAATAAGCTTGAGATTCACCTGCCGGCCCACAGATGAACCCTAAGTCCGTTTCTTTTACATTACATTTCAAATTCATTTCGATTCCAAAATGCCAAGGTTAAAACACTAAATATTAATTATACTTCATATCCCAGACATAGTATGGATTCATTATTTCGTAAGAAATCAATAACAGAGCACTTTTGGTTTTTTGCTCCATAGCTGCATTCACGTATTGCAAAACATATTGTACACGCTGCTTGATGAATTGCACATTAAAGTACAACAATAGCTGCAAACGTACGCTTGAGTGTTTGGCAAACCAGGGCAAAGGTAGCCTTTTTGTTCCGGACGGAGGGGCTGTAGACGAGCGACTTGATTGAGCCGACGGCTCGGCGCCGAGCGTCGCCCTGGAGCGTGCTGCGCAGCACCTTGGCGGCTTCTCTCCGGGCGAAGTAAGCCGACCGTTCGGCATTGCTCTGCTTTTTCTCCGGCTTCCGCTCTTTAGCCGGCGAGCTTCGGGCCATCATCGGCTTCCTGCGTGCCATTGCTCGATCTTTGACTGATGGCGGGGAAGATGAACAGAAGTAACTCGTCGGGGTTTAGGGTTTTTTCTCTGAAAATTGCTACTTCCAGTTTGTTATTTAGCTGAAATGCGATTTCAATTACTGTCCTTCGGTCATTAAATATAAACGTTAGTGAGTTGTATCCGTGTTTGCTTTATTTGTAATAAGTTCATACTATGAACTAAATTTATTAGTAAGTTATGTTTGGCTCGAGTCAACCATCTATACACTTCAAATAATAATATTATATTCTCTGATTACTTAAAATGCTGAAAACTAACATCCTTCCTATATATAATTCCCGAATGCATTGAGCCTACGTGGCTGCTTCTGGTGCTTCAGAATCCTATTTGGCGAAGAATCATGCTTCGTAATTAGGTTTGGATAAATAATATTGATATATTAATAATTAATAATCTAGGTTCGGGTATTCCATAAATATTATTTAGTTAACTTAGGTATTTTAATATCGCTTTTACTAATGTAACCCTTTAATTCTTTGTAATTTTACATAGTGAGGCACTAAGTGACTAATATATCCCATAATTTTGATTTGTTTCCTTCAATAAGGTATTGAATTATATATGTATTTTAAAAGTTGATAACTTTTGTATTTCTTATCGGTTTTACATATATAATATATCAAATTAATCATCTTTTGATGATCTTCGATTTGACATCCATATTGTATATATGAAATAAATCAATTATATATATCTTTATAATAATAAAAAATAATAATATTTATTAAAATTCATTAGAAAAATAAAATTATTTCTCAATTGATATATTTATATGTAATGTAGTTATATATTGTAAGTTAAAAAAAATTATTATAATATAACACAAGTAAGTTGCACAAATAAAAAGTGTCATAAAAAACATATAATAATATATATATTTTTATAAAAGGTATTTAAATTTTCAAACTACTTTTTCTCATTAATTTTAGATTTTAAGAAAAAAAATTAACAAGCACCCGTGTAATACACGGGTATTGTACTAGTAATCAGATAGACGTAAAGTTAGTAAACGAAACGAACTGTTTGTGAGCTCAACTCGTTAAAGTTCGAGCTCGACTTGATTCTTTTTTTATAAACGAACCGAGTTTGGACTTGTTTAGCAAGGCGTTTGGTTAATGAGGGCTCATTCACGTAATTTTCTAAACTATTACCTTAACTTGTTAATTTTGATACACCCAACCGAGCTCAATCTCGTTTATTAGCTTGATTAGTTAACGAGCTAGCTCGAGCTCAATCTCGTTTACTAGCTTGATTGATTAACGAGCTAGCTCGAATCCTTTACAGCTCTAGTAAGAAGAAGTCCTCGAGAATGAATATAGTCATAGTACACCATTTTTTTGTATCTTCAAAGAAACTAATAAAGTGTGTAAATTAACTAAACAGCAAGCACCATGCACGGACAAGGTAAACTTTCAGAACAACAAAGTAACAATTAGCATCATCTCTTGTGACATAATTAAGGTTAAGAAAAGAAACTAAAGCATGGCCAATTAACTAGATTGCAGTGAAGAATGTCTTAAGAGGATGGATCATAACTTGAGCTGTGTGAAGCCAATAGTTCCAGGCCACCAACGGCAAAGACACAGCCGTCAAGTGGACACCCTACCGATGAACATTTTTCATCTAAGTTGCCAAGCTATTTGGCTACAACAATGGAGAAGAATCAATTGTGGCACATTTTCTGTTCAAAAAGAAACAAAATTATGTAAAAACCCATATCCTCAAGGCTTAACAAGCCAAGCTCACGAATAGCTCATTTCGTTCAGCAGCTCTAAATATTCATGAATATAAACACCTACTTCAGTCAAAAAAATAACCATATGATTGAACCCTGTGCCCAAGTAGTTGTAGGCTTGTAGCAGAACTATGCACTTCGTGATGAGTGGAATTCTCGACAAATCAAAACAGTACAATATTCAATAGCCCAACATTCAATTTACAGGAGAATAACAGGCAAACTGAAAAGGTTATGCATGGAACCATCATCTAAAAGGACGACTGGTCCCTCGGAAAGTGGCACTTCCTCTGGTGAAGCTTATAAAATTTCTACGATAAAATAAATCGATTTTTTCTCTACTCGAGGATTATTATGTACATGGTTTGATTTAATTCAACCAACCACACATTCATATCACACCAATCAGGCAACTAAAGCACGCCTCATTCTTAGTTTCCAAAAGGAGTTCTTGTACTCTCATTCTCTCAGATAACACTTCAATCATAAATGAAATGGAATTATACGCTGGCTAGACGATCATCATATAGTAAACGTTAAAAAACACCTGAGGGATTACAGAAATCTGTAAAATCCGAAGACTGGAAGTGCTCTGATCACAAGGAGATACGAGCATCAACTATGTTACAAGAGAGGAAATTCATGGCTTGTTCCTACAAAAAAAGTCAGATACTGATTAACAAGAAACAAAAACTGTCACTCATTCAGTTCATTTGTTGAAGTCCATGATCCCATCAGCTTCCAAGAACCGGCTAAGATGCTTATCGTCTAAATGTCTCTGCAAAACGAGGCAAAGCAATGCCGAAAAAAAAAAGCACAAAGTGAGAGCTACATTGTTACATAACTTTACAAGTTTCTAAAGTTACAAAAACTTATTTTCAACCATCAAATTATTAAAGGAGCTTACAGATAAACACTCTCTGTATTTCTGCCACTCGGACACACACTCTTCTTTATCCCACTGACCTTTCAAGAATTTCTCCGAATACCACCTGCGCCGCAAAGACAAAATAAGTCCGTCAAGACTCTTACACAGCTCGAATTTTCAACTTACTCCAAAAATCAAGAACAAAATTCAAAAACCCCAGAAAAAAATTAAAAAAAAAATCGAATCTTTCACGGGTTGAATCAGCTGTGGCAACACCCCACAAAAGATAAACAGCTCCCATTTCAATCTATCCCCAAAAAAGGAAGGAATCTTCACTGAAACTTGGGGAAGAAGAAATAAAAATTGAATCTTTTACTTGTTGAAGCAATTGTGATAAGCAGTTCTGAGATGTGCACAAGGCGAAGTTGCAGAGGCATAGGGCTGCTTTTGGTCTCTGAAAATCCCCATCTCCACCGGTTCGTGCAAGGCCAGTGAACCGGGTTTTTACCCAATCATCGTTTAACGCGCCGCCGTTAATTATTCTTCTTCTTCTTCTCTCTCTCTCTATCTCTCTCTCTCTCTCTCTCTCTCTCTCTCTCTCTCTCTCTCTCTCTCTCTCTCTCTCTCTCAATTCTTCCTAAATTCCTTGTTCGCAATTGCTTGGGCAGTAGTGCAGAGTCTGCAGACATAATAAAATGAAACTTTTTCTTTTCCAACATTATCAGTAGTTAGGTTTGTGGATCCTCGTTGGGTGATCGAGTCTTGGCCCAGGAAGTAATGCTTGATCCAGTGGGCCGCATACTCAACTCCTGGAAATGATGTATTCAATAGTATTTGGGCCGCATACTAAAACTCTTTGATTTGACAAAAATTGCAGACGGACAACTCGTTTAATTTTATGAGAAAATTACACAATTTACCTCCATAGAGTAAATAATAACAAAAATATGAGCTCACAGAATTTTAATCATAAGTAAGTTATTCAATAATTAAAAGGAGATTTAGTGCGGTTAAGTTGGCCTAATTAACCGTTAAGTGCAGTTAATTACATATTAATTCTGATATTTATGGCAATTTAAAAAATAAGCAAATAACACAAAAGGAATTCCTCTTACATGATTTTCGGGAAGTGTGATTTACTCTCCATCTTTACACTCAACCGTTTATAAAAAAAGAACAAAAAATCTGCTGCTCACTCCAAATCTCGAGTACAACATCATTGTTGGATATTTGGTGTCAAAATTACACGGGAATCCTACGAACTGATATGTATTTTTCAATTCTTACAAATAATCTAAAAATAGAAAATTACAATTGAACAGAAAAATAAAATACAACTTAAAAACGGAAAGATTTTAGCCGAGGCGAGTAAAAACTCTTTCCGCAAGAAGAATACGCCCCGTGTGGCTGCTAACGGTTAAGGCGTAACTTCCCCAAAGATACATCGGCAAACGTCTCTAAATCTGTAGCACACCAGATTTACGAGCACCGGCGAACGGGAACGGAATCGAGAATTGAGCACTTAAAAATAAAAAGAATATTCTGAAACAAATAAAAATATCACTTGTTTCTTTTCTTTTGAAATTTTTATATCCGATATTTGGACATAAATATTTCTATTTTTTCCTTTCACTTTCTTTCTTCTCTCTTTCTCTCTATTTTTTGTGTGTTTTTCATCATTGCCCGAATAGGCTATTTATAGGAGAAGGTATATGCTGCAAATTGGCCAAATGGCCTATCTTTATGAATAAAAAATCATTTTTTTTTTTAATCCAACTAGTGGGGCGATTGCATGTGGCACCGCCCCTTTCTCATTTTTTTTTTTTTT